TTTTTTTGGGAAAAAATTTTAAAAAAAAAGGGCCCCCCCCCCGGGTTTTTCCTTTGGGGGGGGGGTTTTTTTTTTTGGGAAAAATTTTTTAAAAAAAAAGGGGTTTTTTTTGGGGGTTGAAAAAAGGGGTTGGGTTTTTTTTTTTTTTTTTTTTTTTTGGGGGAAAAAAAAAGGGGGGGGGGGGGATTTTTTTTGGGGGGGGGGGGAAACCTTTTTTCCGGGAAGGGGGGGGTTTGGCTTCCGTTTTTTTAAAATTGGTTAAAATTTTTGGGGGGGGGTTAAAAGGGTTTTTTATTTTTTTTGGGGGGGAAGGCCCAAAAAAAAAATTTTTTTTTTGGGGGGTTTTTTTTTTTGGAAAGGGAAAAAAAAAAAAGTTGGGGGACCCTTTTGGGGGGGGGGGGGGCCCTTTTTTTGGGTTTGGGGAAATTTTTCGGGGGTTTTTTTTTTTGGGTTTGGGGGGGTTGGTTGGGGGGGAAACCGGGGGTTTTTTTTCCGGTTTTTTGGGGGGGGGGGGTTTATGGTTAAAAGGTTTGGGGAAAAAAAAAAAGGGGTCCCCCCCCCCCCCCCCCCCCCCCCCCGCCCGGAGGAAAAATGGGGTACCTAGGTGTTCAAATATTTTTCGTACCCTTGGCCAATCTACCAAAATGACACGATCAGTGGTCAAACAAAACGACCTGTGTGTGAGGCACACGTGTTCATTATTGACGTCAGAAATTGTTCAGCAGGTCCTTCGTGCAGTGTAAAAGGCGACGTCAGTCGTGTCCCGGTGTAGCGGTCCATAGTGTCACGAGCTATGACACTCGCTGTTCAGGGTATCGCCGCTAAACCTCGTTTGCGGTTATGGACCGCCAAACAAACCGGGAGGCTCAATAATAGCGGAGGTTTAATGTTGGTTATGAACCGCAATTCCCGGAAAAAGGCCATTTTTTGCACAAAACATGAGCAACGTCGTAAGCTTATCTTGGTAGGGTCATGCATGTGTCTCATTGTAGCAGCCGAACCATAAATATGGATGTTGTGTATGGAGTAGATGTTTATATAAGGAAGACAAGACAGCATACATTGCTGCATTTCAATGGACGAGAACACAATAAAATGTTTGTTCTGCTTTCTGGACTGTTTTGTTCACGTCGTACACTGCTTTCTATGGGAGCACAAAGTTGCGAAAAAAAGTCAAAGTTTCCAAACTTTTCTCGCAACGTTCTTCATGTACGCTCTTTATGGGAGCAAAGAGTTGCGCCACAAAGCTTTTGAAACTTTTGCTTTGGACAAAAATCGCGCGATTTGGAGCAAAGTTCGTGGATTTTTCTCGCCACGAAGGTGTCGAACCAAGTTACACGGCGAGACTTCCGCCAATCCACGTCAAGCACGTACCCCTACCACAAACAAACGTAGACCCCCTCTCCAGCTTCGATTGGAAGGCACCGTTGTTCACCGATATCTCGACGGATACTAAACGAGATGCCTCATGAATGTATCTGGAAGGAGGTAATGTCTTGGGCTGTTGGGTAATGCCAAGGTTTGGTACCGTGAGGCGCCGAATGTGACGGGAATTTTTTTTTGTGTTGGACGCACAACCATCAACGGCCGCGAGATTTTTTACCGCCACGGGTTCGGTTTTCCACCGGTAACTTTCCGAAGGAGGAAGCAGCAGCATTTGTACCAAGGCCACTCCGCGGGAGGTAGCTCTCTGCCCCATCTTGCATGCCCAACGTGGGGTACCGTGGGGTATCGTGCGCGTCGGGAAAATGTTTTGGTTGATCCTAAAACACCCACGTCAGAGAGGGGTTGGTTCAGGTGTGCGGGGATTGTGTGCTCATGGTTTAGTGTTCCAGCGATAACTTTTCGGAGGAGAAGGTAACAGCAACAGCAATGCCACTCCGAGGGAGGTAGCTCTACCCAGCTTCTTTCTGGTGCCAGGTTAGATGCCTTGGGGTGTCGTGCATGTGGAGAAAAACGGTTGCAAGTACCCTCTCGCGCACGCTCTGGCCGGTTTCTTCGCGGTGTGGTATGAAAGGGGTGTGCCTACTTCTCGACAACAAAAAGGTCACGCCTCCGCGTTCCGCCAGTCCCGTTAAGAAAACTTCCTTGGCCCCATAGTGAGCGTGCAACAAAAGTGTTACTGCAAAAGTCCCCCGACCAAACGTTGACAAAAAAAAAATCGCAACTTTGTGCTCCCATGAAAGGCTGTGTCAGAGTGCGCGAAGCGTGTTGTCCTATAAGCATTTTGTTGTTTCCCGCGTGCAGCTGTACAGCGCGGGTTGGCTTCTTGCGCGTGCCTGGCGCTAGAAAGCCACCACCTTTTTGCGCATGGTTGGGTGGATTTGAGATGCATGGGGAGGTCTGCGCCGTCTTGGTTTCACATGAATGGCAAACGTGGTGCATCTCACTGCCATCCGGATCCTCCACCTCCCCATACACGTTGTGCATGCTAGCACCACAACCACCTTTTGTGCGCGATTGGACCCAGTGTAGCATCTGGAACGTTGCGCAACTCTGCATCCGAGCACCGCATGGTGGTCATGTCTCCTTCGCTATATGTGCTGTGAGTGTGTGCAAGCGCAAGGACGCGGGGGGTTTCCGCAAAAAACGCTATATATTGGCGGCTGAAAACAGCTCCAATAACCGCTTTTGGGGCACGACCGTTATTCATAATTAGCGGTTATTTACCGCTAAACTGGGGTGTAGCCGTGCCACGAAATTCTGGAACCGCTATTCAGGGCGTCCAATTAAACAGGGTACCAGTAAACCGGGATCACGACTGCAATTACCCAACTTTACGATTCTAGTCGTAGACTAGCTTAGAGGGCGAGTCCATTGCTTGGTTTTGTCTTCCCCCCATGATACAGCAACAACGGTGTTGTTACAGACTACTACTACACGAATGACCGCAGGGCAGCGCGAGTTACTACATACACATCATCATTGGATCTCACCTCATCGAAAACAACAACCTGAAAGCACGCCCACGCGAGGAGGGCAGGTTCTTTGCCTTGTGCAGCGCCGAAAGCATCCGGGGTTGCCACGAGCACGTCGAACGACTTCTTCTGCAACTCGTCTCCACCCCTCAGCTGTGCTATCCTGCTGTGGAAAGTCCATGCGCGGAGGGCTTTCGCTTGCTGCTCCACCAGGGGGCGCGTCGGCACGAGGAAGAGCGCACGAGGGGGGCGCTGTTTGATGACCTCGGCGGCGATGATGGTCTTGCCTGAGCCGGTTGGCAGCACCACCAAAGTGTTCTCTCCCTCGCATGCGCTCGCAATTCTCGATTGATAGGGACGGAGTGTTCTTTCCGGGCTGGATGCCGGAGGAATGCTGTGGATGGAAGACGCCTCGGATGTTTCCGAGGGCGGCGCGTTGGTCTCGGATCTCAGGGCCCGCGCCCGAGTCATGCTGCGAGTTTGCACTCGGTCCAAGTGAGGCATGGTGCAGAACCCGCTCTAATATTCTTGTTCCAACGGCGCGGGGGTGGGCAAGCGCGCGGTGCGCTGTATCTACCGCAGAACGCTGCTCCTGTTTGTGCGCAATCGGCAGCAACGTGGCAGCCCCGGACGCCTGGAATAGCTACAGCGTTCACGTGGCTGAGAGCGATGGCTAGCGCGAACAAGCTGGGCGTTGTATGTATGTAGACGCACAAGCGCCCGGCCCAAGAGCGAACGACCTGGACTCCTGGACATACATGTGTGGAGAAAGATCTACCGAAAGATCCAGAACCACAATGAGAACCAAAGTGGGGGGTGGATGAAGCGGATGATATTTATTGTTTTTCCCTTCGCCGATCCCCCTCACGACTTTACTTTCTATTTGACTCAGCACTCTGTCTCCTCTCCATTTGTGCAGGTATAGTGGAGTCAGCGCTGTTCAAACCTCTGCTGTTCGCGCACGGTAGCACCCTCAACAAGAAGTCAGGCGAGATAGAGAGTAGAGAGAAAAAGAGCAAAGCCCACACGTCAGGGATGCCGAAGCGCAAGGCCGACGAGGTGAGATCGCACGGGGATCGATTGTAAATGGCACGCAACATCGATTTTTCAAAATCCCACACCATAACGATCTTGCTTGTTTGCTTCATCTCCACACCTTTCCACATGCACAGATCGACATCAGTTTTCTAAAAGCGCTGTCATAGAGCAACACTCGTGCTCTAGAGAAGCGCTTGAGCCTCGACGTTGCTGGAGTCTGGGAAATATTTCCACATGTACACAAGCACGGCGGGTTCTCTGCCAGGCCATAATTTTTGAACGCTTGTTTCTTTGAAGAGCGCTGATACACTTGACAATCGGTGACGTCTTGACCTTCAGCAAGTGCTCCCTCATGACTTGAAGCGACGAACAGCAACACTGTAAAACCAGGACCTTCATGGGACCTTCATGGGCGCATGAAAGAGAGAGAGGGTTCGCAAGGAAGAAATGCTGCTGGTGCTTCGGTCCTGAGACATGTCTTGCGTTTGCTACGCAAGATACCACCCCCTCTCAAAGCGATTCAAATTTTAATTTTACTCAAATCCCTCCGCAACTATAACAAAGAGTAAGAGTGTCGACAGGGCAACGGGAGATGAGATTGATTGCTTCAGGAAGCCCCCCGTCTCAAGAGGTTTGTAAATATAGCAACGACTGGATGTGCGTACATTGCGTGTTAACGCGGCACTGTAGTAATTACGATCTGCGTAGGGCAAAGCAGCGATCCTGAATCGTGCACGAGGCGCGAGGCGGATGTAGACACAACAGAGAGCTCAGGGAGAGAAAGCATGGGGACCGCAAACTGCCACCATGCCCATGCGAACCCTTTGGATGCGTACCCGTCATCCACGGGGGGGGGGGGGGTACCACCACACGTCCGTAAATTCCTATCGCGGTGAATGCTCGATCGAGGAGAAAGCAAGCATAGTGTTTTTCTCTCGACTCTACAGCAGTAGTGGTTGTCACTGTCACTTCCAGCGGAACGTTAGCCCATCCGTCAATGATGCAGTTCCGATTCATGTCTGCGTTCGACGCACACAGCGAACACCGCCGCCCTGCTTCGTTTCACCTTCGCTACAACTTCTTCTGTCATTGCAAAACGTTTGGGACTGCTGTTCGTAAATTAATTCAACCCGCGAAAGGAGGGGTCCGGGGGAGAAGAAGAGGAGAGGGGGGCCACCACCACCGACGACGGCGAGACTGTGAGAGATTGAATGGCTGTCGTTGTTCCTGTGCTGTTTGTCTTGTTGGCGTCTGGTGCCTGTGCATGGGCTCCTCCTGTTTTCCCCGTGTCTTTTCATGCATGCGTAGGTTCCGTTGGCGCGGAACAACGCGCCAGTTAGTCGTCGTCCTCGTTGCTTTCGCTTTCGCACCCGCTCAGGCTGTGTTGATACAGAACAAAGCGCCAATTGGTTGTCGGCGTCATTGTTGTTGTCGTCACGTTAGCACGCGTTACCACCTCTTGCAAGTAACTTGTGCTAGCCGCACAGGTCCAATTGGCGGGGACGCTTTCCGTGGTAGCAGGCTGTCCGCCGAAAAAGGTTACACACGTGTGTGAAAGAATAGAATTCGAAGATTTAAGCGTGTGAGGAGTTGGGACCGCCTATTCGGGGTCACGCTGAAAAGCACGCCATAATCACACCCTTCCCCCAGTCATGCCTTAGTATTTTTTCCTTGCTGTCGTGTCGACTTTAGTCTATGTTGACACAAGCTTCGCCATTTGCCCGCTGTAATCTAGACAGGAACGTTGTCTCCATTGTCATGGACGGTGACGGATGGGTCACAAGACCACCAGAGGGGAAAAAAGTAAACACCAGCGTCGCCTGCTTGATGCCACTTTGAAGTCTGGCACTGCATGCTGGTGACCCCCGTCCTCCTCGACTTGGTGCGCACATATATGTATCCATTTGTTTTCAACTCACCAAACGCGGTAGGGGAAGAGAAGTTCCGCGAACACCGGTGCTGCAGCCGGTAGCAGCAGCGGCAGCAGCAGCAAGAAAGCGAAGAAGCAGAGCGATGGCTCCGGCGTCAGCAACAAGATAGAGGTGTGTGGGATAGGTCTGTTCTCGAAACGGTTCGGCTTCGGCGTTGTTGACGGCCCGGGCTGGCGTTGTTATTTTTGCCTTGTCTGAGGATCCTTTTTTCTTTTTTTTTTCTTCCAAAAAAGATGAATCTCCATCCGCAGATATGGTGCTTTGTTTGTCTCTCGCTGCCAGAGCTTTTTCGTGCCCCTCTGTCTGTCTCTCGCCACAAACAACGAGCTTCATTGATGCTCATCAAACACTCGGAAAGCCTGTCCTTCCTCTCTATTTATCTCTCTGTGCTCCCCCTCCCCCATTCTTCCTGGCGCCAATGACGATCCCAGTACCGAACTTGCCCTACGGTAGGTAGATGTCATTTTTGTACTCTCCACCCGTACCCTATCTGTCCCCGCCCTCTCCTTTACCTCTTATCACAATTTCTACCAGAACCCTTTCGTAAGTGCCTAGTTTTGGTGCGCGGCCCCTCCCTTGGAAGATGTCATCGGTCGACCGGGAGATTTTCATTCCAACCTACACTGTATGCAGAAGTTTCCTTTCAATGTAAAATGGCCAGTCCGAAAACTTCGGGCACCTTTCCTCTTATCTTTGTGTTTTTCTATTTCAAAGACTCTGGTTGTTGTGCCGAGCCCTGAAACCCTGTCTCCCCCTCCTTTTCTTCCCGTGGTGCGCCGCGATTCCCCAAAGCTCGGCAACAAGAAGTTCGTGGACGTGCGTGAGTTTAAGGGCAAGATTTACGTGGACATCCGTGAGTACTACGAGAAGGACGGGGAGATGAGGCCCGGGAAGAAGGGCATCTCGCTTTCCACGGAACACTGGGAGGTGCGCGAGACATCAAAGACGCGTCCTCTTCGTCGATTTTTTTTTTGCCATTGTTGGTCTCTGTCGTTGTTGGCTGCATTGTTTTGTCGTGGGTGCTTGTCGTCGGTGTCGCCACCGTCGGTTTTTGTTGCCATTGTTGTTTTCTGCGTTTCGCTGCAATGCTGTCGTGGGTGTTGGGTGGTCTCCTTGGCGTTAAAACGTGCCAGCAGTGTTACCCGCTCGCTATACAATAATATACCATGGTAGACCCAGACGGTATGCTGCTGCGAGTTTTTTTTAGCGGTGCAAACAACGGTCAACATGCAGGTTTTGTCGAAACATCGAGATTGTCCACTCGTTTGTTCTTGAATGTAAAATGTTTCATTCAACTCCACGTGCTCGTGCTGTTGAGGTACATCAACACACACATCTACAGCAGCAGTGTGTTTTGTCCCTCTACAAGACTGACGTATTTCCATTGGCCCGCTAGCGCGGACGGTCGACGCGTCTCAGCGGAAGGAGCTCGCGCGCACGCGGTGACTAGAAATCATGCTCGGGTCTTGTTGTACGGCTATCAGACGGACGTCTTGTCATTGGTCGGCCGGCTTAAGTAAAGACACGGGTACAGGCGCACCAACCTGTGAGCACGCGTGTGCACTGCTATCGGCACGAATGCGGGTTGTAGCCCCTTCTTGTCTCCCAGTTGTTGGACGCTGGCATCGAAACGAGAATCAACGAATGACGTTGCATTTTTATTTTTGATGATGGTGGTGCGTGTCTTTCGTCTTGTTGTTTATTGTTTGTTTATCGCGGCCATCCATCCGCCCGTCAGGTGCTCAAGGAGAACATGGACGACATCAACGCAAAGGTCGAAGAGCTAAGCGGTTGACGAGCACAAGTGGGAAGAAATGAAGAGGGGGATATGCAGAGGGGAAAGGGGATTAGAGGGGTAGCGATGGGGTGGGGGGGGTCCCGTTCGCTCTGCCGCATCCGGCGAACCCCTCCCGCTACAGCCTTCCTCCTTGCAGTCCCCCCCCGCCCTCCCTGAATGTATTGTGTCTCCAGCGACAACCAACGCGTGTGTAGAGTACTGTAGAATTGTATCATACTGATCTCGATGGCGTTTTTTTACCCCAACTTGTGTGTCCGTGCCGTTCGCCCGACTCGATGGACGAGCAAAGCATCTACATATCTGAGTGTGTGTTCGGAGAGACAAGGGGTGGGGCGAACACGGTATGGATAGTAGACGGGTGGGGTGGTGACTGGTGCAGAAGGCGCACCAGAGCGCACCCACCCCGTTTGAATACCTGGAGACAGGTAGGCACCGAAAGAAGGATGTGTCTTTCAGCGACTCAGTGGCAAAAACATCGACCCATTTGTAGCACCTAACAAGCACCCCCCCTCCGGTTGGGGTTTTTGGCTAGGGCTTGGGTCAAGTCGCAACAGCGAGACCCTTTGCAGGACTTCCCAAAGGCACGCCGAACAGGGGGCTGGGGCTAGCGTCAGGCTTTTGGGTAGGGGTTCAGTGGCGACAGCGACCCTTTGTAGGACCTTCGAAAGGCACGCCGACCAAGCACCCACACCTGCCTCCGGTTGACGCTGGGGCTGAGGGTCGAGGCGCCAGTCAGAGTCGTAGCGCGTCGCCCGGAAACCTATGGCATGCCTTGATTGCCTCCAACACAACACTGCACGGTGACGTTTATCATTCATTCGGCCTGTCCTGGCGTGTATTCCCAAGCGCCGGGCGCACCATGCCGTACGCCTGGGCAACAGTGTCTTGTTTGAATCAACATGTGCGTTGTCTCTTATCGCCCGAAGCGGAAATGAGAACCCGAGCCGCGGACACTTGGAAGCTCGTGTGCATACACACTAGGTGGTCGTGTGCGTTCGTGCATCGTAGTGTTTGTGTCTTTCTGAGGGGGCCCGTGGTGCGCGTCCTTTGCCCGGGGAGGTCACGGCAACCCCTTGACCCACCGACATCTTGTACGTTTTTTTCCCTCGAGTCAGTCCCGGTTTTTGAACTAGCCGGCCGTTTTCCGAAAAACCTCTGCATCGACCGAGTGTTGGTCAAGGACCCCCCCCCCCCCCCCCCCCCGCGCGCCCCCGACAATACCATGAAACAGCTTGAAACGGAGGCAGCCACTCGCGCGATATTTGCGATCCATTTAACGTATGAACAAATCTCCTGGGTTTCGCCTCAGTAGACGGCGACAACAGCCAATCCCCCCGGGCAACCCTCGAGCACTACTGCTGTACCTATCATAGCTTGGCTGTCTCTACACATCTCGGATGGTCAAAACGCCAGGATAGGCGCTGCAGGCAGCCTGTTGCGCGTGAAAAGAAAATTGGATTAGACGGAGTACCACTACTGCTGCTGTGATGACGATGCCACTAACTAGCTGTCCATCATTCATTGCCTACGTGTATGCTGTAGGGCGCATGAAAACTTGCAGTGCTCGAGCGGATCGCACTGATATACACAAAAAACGTGCGCGCATCACAGGAGGAATGATGGAACACCCGCGTCAAAAACTCTCCGCGCACGACCCAAAATACACGAAATACGCTGATAGGCAGCCAAACGAACCGCTTCTTAAGGCGCGACAGACAACCACGCAGCGAGCTCAGAGCAAATGCGTACACAACATCGCACATCATGTCCACAGACCTCCTCCAACAATAATGCAGCCGCCCTCACCCCCTCCTTCTCCATGCCCAACACCAGCAAAGCTTTTTCGCTTACATGCATAGGGCGTACCGCCACAGCTGTCTCACGTTGGGACTGCTTTGTTTATTATCTCGTTCTTGCCACGTACTGTACCAACACCAAGAAGGGGCGGTGGGTGGTGTATCACAGCATCACAATACCTTTTGTTTTGTTTCCGTCGTCCCTACTGCCCAAGGTGCAAGGGTAGAGCAGGAACAGACCAAGGCTTGGCGTTCAGGCTGACTGAGCATTAATTCTGCCCGCAGATGCCCGCAACAACAGTCGGGCCGAACACACGAAGCTAGTGGTCGTCGACGTTACTTTTTCGTCCGCGCCTCACAACAAGTTTGACAACAAAGACAGCTTGAAGAGAGCACAAAGACAGCTCGAAGAGAGCACCTCCTGCCTCCCCACTCATGGCCTATTTTCCCTCGTCGTGTCCAACCCTACCCCTCCAAGGCAGGTCAACGGACCCCGATACAAAGTCTACACGAAATGAACCATAACTAAGCATGACACAACAATTAACAATCAACAGGCAAGGTCAGCGTCCTGCCCGGTTACCCCTCCTGCCCGAAGTCCTCGGTCCACTGGACGAAACGCGTGAGCTCCTCCTCCGATACCGAGCTCCCAGACTTGGTTAACGCCTTGAGGAAGTCGTCGTAGCACACGTCCGGGACCAAAAGCTTCTCCGTGGCAACCTTGACACAGAAAACAAAAATACAAACAGTTTCCGCCGACGCTGTGAAATGATTGCTCACCTATCCCAAACTCTTTATCGGCGGAAGAGATGACCTACTCTCCAAAACCACAACAGAGGACTAAATTAAACTAACTACCCTTTGAGCTTGTCCTCCAAACACACAACAAATAATAAAAATAAGTTTTATTACCTTCTAGACCCAATGATATTTGTTGTGGAAGGAAAAAAAAAAAATGACGAAAAACACCTCGGCACACTCTCCTCTTCAGAAGTCGGGATCGTGCGTTGGAAACAAAGCACGGCTTTGGTATGCATACAAACAGCATACAACACCGGACACAGCTAGAGAAGAGGTCATCACTGTCTGTTGGCTTCAGTACCGCAACTTCAAAGAAAGTTTTTTCTATGTCGAAGCATGTAAGCGTACAACGCGCCCACGGCGCTCGCCAAACCTTCTCCTACGCTCACTACACGCGTAATCGAGCAAACCGATTGATTTTGCTGTCCCTCTTGTCGTCTCAACCATAAAAAAAAAATCAGCTGGTGTACTTGATAGAGACAGAAGCAGAGGATGCACACGACGACCCGAGGACGAAAAAAAATCCCGACAGAAAATAAAGCAGACGTGGGAAGCAAGCGCACACCGCGACCAATGTAAAAAAACAATACAAAACAGCCTCACCTCGTAAAGACTGGTGCGTATCGCTTTACAGGTGGGGCAGACCTCCCCCAACTTGGCTGGCCGGGTGGTGAGGTCTTGCGGACAGTATGGGCAGTTCGGGTACTTCTCCGCGGGGATGAGCATGTTGTCCTTTGTGGGTACGAATTGCTGCACACAGAAAGCACGAAGTCCAAGTCGTACTTCGGGTTGGTTTTGCGTCGGGTCGATTTGGCTGGCATGTTTTATGTACAAACAGATAGCTTGATGAATTATTACAAGCAGATGGATGGATAGCTACTACAAACATATTAATTGATCAGAGACAGAGACAAAGGCACGACCGTCTCTCCAAGACAAACACGACGACCCGAGGTAAAAAACAAAGAGGCCATGAATAAGCAGACGGGGATTGGCAACACACAGCAACTACCCAACCCTTTTTTTTTTTTTTCCACTTCAAATCAGCGCTCACAGCACTAGTGCCGTTTACTCCAACCCGTGGTCACACAGAAGGACACCTCTCTACCCTCCCCTCCTGCGGTACTTCACCTTCGATTTTTAATGCGAGAAGAGTTCAGCACTCTCTTCCCTCTGTGTACACACGAACTAGCGCTATCCACTTGGCCAGGAGCGGAAGCGAGAGAAAAACTCACTTTGCAAGAAAAGCTCGCTTACGCCGGGAACCGAACCCCTAACCTGACCTCTAGAAAGTTTCGAGCATACCAACTATACCACCGGGGCGAACACTAGCAGCAACAATAACAGCAAGAGCAAGAGACAACACAGCCAGGCCACACAAGCTAAAAGACGCGTGCTTCGTAGACACAGACATTCACGCCTCCAGACAGGGCAACCACACCCCCAAGAGGAACGCAAAACACTCACACACCCTTACGGACACCAGCAGCGGCTACTGTTTTAAGAAACGGTCGTGCAGAGAAAGCTAACCGAACCTCTCTCCAAAATGCGACCTTCCCTACATGCTATGTTACACATGCATCTCTCATGGATTAGAAAGGCCATTTTCGCTCTCTTCAATCCGTGATTTTCTCTCCGATACATATCTCTCCTAAGACTGTGGTAGCCGCCAACCGCTGCATGGAGAGACCAACCAACACGGGGCACGACTGGTCGACATACACGGGGGGAACCGAAGCGCTTTGCAAACGACCGTGAGACGCACAGCCCCCTTGCTGCCCGCCGCACCTTAGCCATCTGGCATTTCCGTAGCGGCTCCATCAGCGCCTCGCGAGTGATGACAGAAATGTCCGAACCGGAGCACCCTTTCGCCTCGTCTCCCAGCGCGTCAAAATTCTGTGTCCCCCGGGGGTTGGTGGGACAACGGAGGATAGACACGCGGGGGTGGGGCGTACTCAGGTCTTAGCGGTTAGACCGTTGACCACGCGTCCTCGAGAGGAAGGTGCATTGCTCCCGGGGGGTTGGGGGGACCACGGAGGAGAGAAATGGAGGGGGGGAAGGTTGGCCGAGGTGCGTCTACTACGACAGCTGGATCGCGTTTTCACGCTCTATCATAGCGTACCGAGAGAGAGAGAGGTTACCGCCATCGAATGCGTCACACGAGCAGAACCGAATTACAGCGGTTGACATCTGCTACACCTCGGTTTCGATTCCTGCTTCGCGAGGAACTCCTCTTCTTCCGAGCCAGACCTATTTTCTCCAAAATGGCGTCAATCTCGCATCTATACGCTGACGGCCATGTCGCCGGGGAACTACTTGGGGAAAAAACCATGGAAGCGCACTAAACGGTGCGCTTGTCTGTTGCTGCTCACTTGATCGGTGAGAGTGTTGGCCGTGTCGCCAAGGTGTAGCTTGAACATGATCGATCTAGCCTCGGGCTCTGGGAGGGGGATGTAAATCCTCTTCTCGAAACGACGACGCATGGCCGGGTCGAGTTCCCAGGGGACGTTCGTAGCGCCTGGAGGCGGGTGGGGTTGGCGTGTAGGATGTGAGAAGCGTACGTTCAGAGATACGTGCCAACATGAAGGGATGGGCAAGACTGAGGGAGGGGAGAGAGAAGTAGTGGTGAGAGCTGGAAAAAAAAAACCCGTGAACTTCGCCGACCATGCGTGCACGTATACCTCCTACCCGTGCGAATATCTAGCTGGAGCGGCCACAGGCAGGCACAAAAAAGAGAGGCATGCAAACGTAGTTGAACACGCAGCTCGGAGGCAACACAAGTGATTTACATTCAAGGCGGCCTCAAGAAGGCAGGAA